CATGTTCACATTGTCTTCCCAGAAATAAACATATGCAGTTCAGACTCTTCCTACCCCTCAGGCTGACTGGAAGCCCCATGACTGTGGTTGGGTGGTGCCAGACCTAGGCTCTAAACCTGACCTTAAGCAAAGCTTATTAGCTCAGGCTCTGTGCCACGCTCGCTGTGTTCATACAGCTTCTGGTCAAGTTGGCTGCAAGAGAAGAGCAAACGTGGTTTTGTTTGGACTGTAGGGAGTGGAGCTTGGGTCTGTCTGAAATCTGCTGTGTGGATGTGCTCTAATTCATCTAGCCTGGGTGGCCAGCACAGCCTTAACACAAACCCCCAGCTTTTCCGTTCATTCTCTCTGTCTGCACCCTTTGTCCATCAGTCAGCTCTGCTTCCACCTCTACATTCCCCAGCTAGAAATTTCTCTTCATTGAGCAAAATGTTATTTCATAAGTTCTTGGTCCTCCACACCCAAACTTGACATTGCTGTTCCTAAATTGGGCAGGTGGATGGCCCATTGTTAATATGCTAATTAATGAATCTTCTGTGTTCCTCCAGCTGTTCTGTTGTGAGGTTGCCTTCTTTCTTGCAGGACTTGGGGCTACACAGGCAGTTTTCTTCTCTGCATGGACACTTTGCTTTATGTCCCTCCTATGAAAAGATCAGGAGCATTGTCTTCTGCACCCTGGCCACTCCTCTCAAGTAGTCTTGTGTCACTAAGTATCACTGTCCCTTGCTTTTCAGACAAAAAGTGGCTAGTAATCTGTTCTCCTTCATGTCTTTTTCCTCTCGCTCATGTTAAAGGAACTGCTGGCTTTTAGAAAAGCAATATTTCTACAGTGACTTCTTATTCCTTTTCCATAAATTGTAAACTACCTTTAACTCTAGAGCTGCAAAATCAAAAAGAAAGTTTGAGTTAGTTGCCTTTGAGTCAGCTCCTGGCTACTGCCACATACTTTTTGAAGATAAGTCAGAACGCTTCACCAGATAACGTGGATAAACTCTTGACTCTAATACAGAAGAAAACAGGCACCAGTTTTTGCTCAGAATTTACTTTCTCTGTGTGTACAAACAGCTAAATGTCTTGACCTTGTTGCCTGTTTTATTGCCTCAGTGGGTACGTGTGCCAAGGTGATAAAACAAACTGCTACTTGATATCCAGGTGGCACTGCCAAATTTGTGGCTTGTTCCATATGTCTCATGCAGGGTGCTATTCTGGAATGACATTTTTGAGACTGAAAGCTGGCTTTTTTTTTTTTGGTGTGTAGGTCCCAGCTTTGAAGGCTCTCCTGTTTTAAGTCTCCTTAGCTATAAATCATCAGAGCAGTGAGAGATAGGGATTAAAGTGCTGCTGCTATTGAAATTAGGTGAGTTGGAGTGCCGAAGTTTGAACTGGCTCCCCCTAAGCAAGCACCTGTGTTTTGTTTTTTAACCTTGGAGGCAATGAGAAATGGCAAATCTAATACCACTGTCACAATTTTAATGGTGTGTTACCAAATGGATATCGCTGATAGCCAGTCAAAGAGCAGTTTCGTATTATGTACTTTTCACCTGTACTAGGGTCATGCCCTTTCATTTTGATGGCAAGTGAACATCTAATCTGTTGTACGAAAGGATGTCAGAAACATTTTTGTCATTCTTGTCCTTTTCAGTTCGAAAGGATTTAAGTGGGCTTGATGATGTGACACTTACGAGCCAATCAGAATGTGGAGGTGAGTTCTAGAAGTTGTTTCCATTACATTTGTGGAATTTAAATTATTAGAAAGTCATAATTTATGATGGAATGCTTTTTGTGGATGATCCTTACAGAATGAAATGGTGTATGTGTAAAATATCTTTGTTACCATTTATTTCCATATAACCCTGCTAAGTAGCTGTGGCTTAGTTACTGAAGGTCAGCTTGCAGTAAGTATATATACTTTTAGCTTATGGCAAATGTAAAAAAAAATAATGTGTTAGTTCAAATTTCAGTGAAAGACGTGTGAGCTGATTAATTTTACCACGTTAGCAATGAAAGAAGACTGTACATGGTAGATGTGAGTTAGAGTGCTGCGTGATGCATAAGCTGACAGTAACTCTGTGTTAATTCAAACTCCTAATTTACTGCTTTTTGGGATGCTTCATCTTAATGATTTGAAACAGTATGTCGGGATTTCTTGCAGCAGTAATTTGGCTCCTGCTGGTTGACTTTTCTAATAGCACTCACACAGAAAGGGTTAGTTTTGTAATTTCCTGGAGCCCAACAGTGAGCAGACTTTGAAAGTTTAGATGTTGGTCTCTTCATTCCCAATATTAAAATGAAGACCAGTTGCTCTGTGGAGTTTGTAGCTCATTTTAAAAACCATACTTCTATAGGTACCAAAAAATAAATTTTAAGACAACTTTACGTGCAGGGAATTTCTGTACACAAAGTTGCAGGAAGCTGCATATGTGAGAAGAAAGCTAAAATCTTTGGATAGGATAAAGAATTTTGGAGGTTCCTAAGGTATATGAGAAATCTGGAGTAATGGATGTCTTTCTGACTGTGCTTTCAGGCTTCTCCAGTGACAGTGACCTGATCTCTCTGACAGTCGATGTAGACTCTCTTGCTGAGTTAGATGATGGAATGGCATCCAACCAAAGTTCTCCCAGTAGAGCTGTTGGCCTTTGCCTTACTTCTGAACCTCCAGTACAAAGCACACTGGCACCTCAGCAGGAGTGGAGCAAACCTGAAGGAGAGAGGGAAAGCTATAGTTTGTTTACTGGAAGCCTAAAACCCAAGCCTGGCAAACAAGATTACTTGGAGAAAGCGGGCGAGTGGATAAAACTGGCCTTGAAGAAGGAGGAGGAAGAAGATTATGAAACTGCCTTCAGCTTTTATAGAAAGGGAGTTGATCTGCTCCTGGAAGGTGTTCAAGGTATGGATCTCCCATTATGTTTGCCTTACCTTTGGTTATGTGTATTTGTTTATGGTGTTTCCTTAGTTAACATCAGCTTGCTGTGTTGCAAAGAGGTGATATGAAATGCTGAATGATGTGTGCCTGGCTTTCATGTGCTTGATAGCTGCTGTGCATATGAGACAGAGAGAGATCTTTCTCTTTTAGACTGAATGATAATTTAAGGTCTCATCTTCCAAGTGCCGAATATCTTCTGCTTTAAAATTGCAGCACAACCTTCGACTTGCAGGTAAGTAGAAAAGTACTCCACTTTTGCCTCTTTCCTTTTTATTACCTAGGCATTAATTAATATGTGGCACTTGCAGCACTGTTGAAACATTATTTAATTTACATGGTTAAGTGAGGATTAATTATCCCCATTTTACGCATGGGGAGAAGCAGACTCAGGTTAACTTCCCAGTCACAACAGGATTAGAACTATTCTTGGCTCACAGCCTCTTGCTTCTTCCACTAAATTGTTGTCCTTTTCTAGCTAAAGCATGCATACAAAGTTAGATGCCTGTACTGCTAGAGGAGAGCAGGATTATTTTTTTTAAAAGATTTTCTTGTGTTAATATATGTCTGCAAAAGCTGTTGTTAACTGACCAGATGCAGCTACGTGCAGATGTCTGCAGAGTTTCCTTGTACCTTGTCAGTCAGGGAACGATTTTTTTCCCCTTCCATCTCTAGCTCTTGAGAATCTGGAATGATAACCTCATATATTTGCATTTTGTCCAACAATGGCTTAAAACTATAAAGCACAGGAAAAGATTTGTTCTTTCCTGGAGTGAATTCAGGGTCTGTGCATTGTGCTTCTGTCCCACACAGATCAAATGAGTAAGATTAGAATGTGGCTTTGTTTGATGGTATACAGCACAGATGCATTATGCTGCTCCAGATCTGAACTTAAATGCTAATGTACCAAAGCATGCAGAAGCCTTTGCCGCATCTCAGTATGATGCACAGCAGTGGTCCAGACCCTCTGAACAGTTCTAGGAATGGAAGTTACCTGCTGAGCTGCTTTAATGGGGCCTAGCAAAAAATAATGGCTAGGTTACTGATGAAAACTAGAGGTGTGGGCCAAGATACGTGCATAGACTTTGCTTAAAGGGTCTTACACTTTTTGGCAACAGTAGATCCACCTCTTTCTTTTCAAGTCCCAGGGATGTCAGTAGGGTTGCTGCTTTGCTGCTTGTTGTGGTGTTTCAATAGCATCCTATCTTTCCTTGCCTGTGTTGTCAAAATGCTTTTCATTCTTAATGTTGAATGCGCTGGCAGTCCTTCTGTTGGACAGCCCAGCTATTTTTGATTTGCTTATACACTTCTTCATAGACATGTGTGCCATTCAGTTACGGTCTTCTGAAGAATATCCTGGGTTTTGTCATAACCACTTCTGTCTTCTCGCCATGATGCAAGGCTGCCATGGTGCAGTTTTAAACTGACAGTTCAAGTTTCAGCTTCAAGAAGCTTTTTTTTTTATTGAACAGTTTCAAACTGTTAGGGCATGAACACAAGTCAGGCTATCACACATCAGCTGAACTGTGATAACTATGCATGCATACTTGAGTTGTGGTAGTGGTTAAACGTGTTGGTTTTGAATCCATGCCAGTCCTTATGGTAATATGTTTATCTTGAAGTTGTGAAAGGCTTTTCTTGCATGTGTTGTAGGTGACTTGCTCAACTGATGCATACTAACTTGTTAAACTAGAGTGGGTTAAGCTTTTTACTTACATTTGCTAACATTTCCTCCAAGGACCTTTGCTTCTCTGCTGTTGACTAGCTACTCATCCAGCTACCTCAGACAACTGCAAATCCTTTTCTCTCACCCACTGGTATCTATGCTTTTCAAACAAGGAAAAAATTCAAAGAGTCTTAGAAAAGTGTGATATTCTGCCCTGTTTCCTTGATGCCACTCAAATAGTGCAGTGGGTGTTATTAATAAATTTATAGTGGTGGTACCTCCATGTGTGGGGGGAAGTGTTCCTGATGGGTGAAGAGATGTGTAGCCAGCACTTGCAACTACTTCTGTGCAGTCCCTGATGTTGCATCTGTACAGCACAGGAGAAGGAATAATGGGAACAAGTTGCTTTTTAACTGGCATCCTATCCCTTGGGAACATAAATGTACACAGGCTAGTTCCTACTAGTCAGCTCTTCTTTCTCATTTCTCTGTGTTAACCCTTCATGACTGCGAAGGTGGAAAGCAAATGAATGTTCATTGTCTGCTGGGCACTTAGACTAGATTTGGGTAGACCGAGCTCATTTTGTGTCCCATTCTCTTTGGAGCTTCTGCAAGCTGGCAGGGACACTGATGCCCTCTTTATAATGACAGGGCTGATTCAAATGCCTTCCTAAAAATATATGCTTTCTCAGGATCTATGAGGAAAAAAAAATGCAAAAAACCCAACAAAACCCTGTGAATAACTATCTCTATCACACTTTTTAATCTAGCTACTTTGTGAAAGCGGTATGTTTAGCATTGACACGTGAATAGTCAATGTACATTGCAATAAAAAACCTCAACCCCTTAACCTAATCACTTCAGCTATTTAAACACCCCTGGTTATGTATTTCACATGGATAATAGTGTGCTCCTTTCAAAGATAAGGATGGTGCAATTATTACAAAATGCCTCTGGTCTTCTGCCATTGATTATTTTCAGCCTATTTTGTCTAAATAAACCTTTGTAATATCTGAAAGTGAAACACAGCGCTCGTATACTTACACACATATAAAGGGACGTTGCCTTTCACAGTACAGCCATTGCAGAATGTGTGGCCCCTCTAGAATGGACTGGCTTTTGCATGTGAAATGGTAATACATATTTTTACCACGTGGTGGCACCAAGAAGATACAAATTGACACTAAAAATTGGACGAGGGAAATGTAACCAGTGTACCAGGGGAGAAAAGGAACATCATCTGTCCTCTGTGTTTGAAACTTCTCTTGGAATTCACTCAGAAATATAATGTCTCTGAGTTGGGTAGATGCATCCGAAAGATAAGGGTCTCTGTTGCCAACTGCTCTTTTAGGCTTGGTACAAGATCTACTTACTACTTAGGGCTGCCTTGTCAAAATCATGTATAAGTTTATTACTGCAAGTTTATAGACTCGTGTTGTTTAGTTTGAAGTAGCTGTCTTCCATAAAGGCAGTCAGAGCACACTTGAGTCTCTTACGTTCCTGATGACTTTCCAGCTCTCTGAGCTGATGGCACTTGTGCTAGACGAGGCAGGTGTTGCATATGCTTGTTACACCAAGGAAATGTCCATCTTGACTTCATTTTCAGCTGTGTGTGCATGCTCTCAGAAGTATAGTGGGGTTAATTATACTGTGCAAGGTGCATATGTATTTTCCTTTGCTAGTCTTTTGTAGAGTTTTAGTACTAAATCTTTTAACGTCCTATTCATAGTCCTGCCAAAAGGCCTAATATGCATGTCACTTGGGGAATGAACGCTGCCTGTGCTCCAAGAGGCCTGTTTATACCTTGGACTCTGGGCATCTGCTCTTTATACATCTTGGGCCTATTTCTGCTCTGTACATGCATTTAATATTAAATGTGTTTGTTAGTGGGAAGGACAACAAATTCTTGGACTGGCAGGAGAGCCCTTGAACTGCCAGTGAACTACCTGTACCTCTTGTACTACCCCGTTTCATTTAGACCGGAGTTCCCTCGGGTGCAGTGAGAGAGAATAGCTGCCATCATTTCTGTTCTCCTCTGAATACATACGGATTCTGCTGCCCCTCTTGTGTTTTCTGGGCATTGCTGTGTGCAGGTTTTTGGAGCTTTTGGAAGACAGGCCTGCAAGGGATGTGTAGGATGGTTAAATAATTCTCCAGGAGATGAAACATTCTGGAATTAAAATCTGCTGCCTTTTTAAGCATACTAACTGATAGAAACTTTGGCTCACAATTATAGCTGTTTCTTTGTTTTGTTAGCATGTCAGAGCACTTTGAGGTCAATGCATTGCTTCAGGCCTCGTGATGGAAAAAATGCACTAATCAATAGCAAGCCACCAACTTCTAGGCTGGAAGTTAGCTGTGTTTTATGCGAAGTAGTGCTTTTCCTGACTTTGGTGTAGGGCATAATTTATGTTAGGAAAAAATAGATCAGGAGGGTGAAATTATGGAAAGAGTTTTTTTTTTGTAATAGAGGAGGGAGTCCTGTTTGTATAAACTGCTCCTCTTTTTCCAACTCCAACCATTCTGAAGTTATATCCATTATGAGTCTGGGCAGTCTGAGCTGCGTGATAAGCACAGAGTTAACACTATTGCTCATTGCTGTGTTTCAGTAACTTCAGGCACATGATGAAGCAAGAATGCTTCACAGTACGGTCAGTCTAAGTTGTGTAGAAAAGTACAGGATCTGTTCCATGTGATTTAAAAAGCGAATGTGTTCATTGCTGACGTGTTAAATACAAGGAACCATGTTACGCATAAACGTTTGAAGGGAGATGATCCATTCACTCTGTCAGATTTGGGGTGTTTGTTTTCGTATGTGTAGCAGCTGTGGCTGGGCACAATGAATATTTATTTGTTTTAGGGTACTGGTTCAACTAAGCAGCATGGACCTTGTTTCATGAAATATGTGGTGCCTCTTAAGTCACAGCAGCCACAAGCTGTTTTTCAGGTATCTGTGTGTTGTGTTAGGTATCCACAACTTCTAGATAAGCTGATGGTGTATTTGAAAGCAGGCTGCGGATGTCAGTTTTGCACTGCTCCATGCTGTTTTAATGTTTATCCAGTAAACAAAACCGGAACAAAAATTACACAAATTACTGGAACCTTGCTAAAATGACTTTGACTTTTAACCCAGAAATGCGTATACAATAAAATGCTGGGAATACTTTGGAGAACTAGATGATATCTTTGGAAATACTGAAAACAAACCAACTTGTGTCTAATTACTGGGATTATGATGGGCTATGATTTGAACTTGTGATGGAGCCAGGGATGCGAACAGGAGCATGCTTGACAGAATGCCA